GAGAGTGGCGTAAAAACTTTCATACAGGAGTGAAGTTAATTCTGAATCTTTAGGCCCACTTCATGCCTAAAATACGACACCCACACACTAAGCGTGAAAGCTGAATTATAAAGAAGGGATGACTATTGAGTAACACTATTGGGTAGGATATAAGGGTCAAAACAGAAAGATGGAAAGATAAGCTTCAATAGCATCCAATTTTTGCACATTTATCAAACTTGTACTGAGAACAGTGTCTAGATTTGTGTATAAAAGATGCCCAAGGAGTGGAGATGAATTTTAACTTTTAAACTTGACGATTAGGCTCCATCTATGAAATCGCTCATGTTTTAAAGGTCGATCTATGTATGTGGCTATGAAAGATGTGTTGTAGGTTTCCAAATAGGAACACTGGCAAATGCATTTTGAATGTTTGTGTTCCCACAATTAGGTGAGGGTTCCCTGCTGCTGCTGCTTTGCCTGATGTAAATACAGTGAATCTCAATCTTGGACTGGGATGTGCTGAATAGTAGGTCATCTCAAATCCTTGAGCACTCAGTCTAGTGAAGATGTTATATATAATAAAGAACTAGTTGAATTAACTATGTGATGTTACCTATTAATAAATTTTAACATTTTTCAAAATGTCCCGTGTGTGATTCATGAGTATTTTCAAGAGTGCAGTCATATTTTCAAATATGTTTGGGGCATATTTGTACTTCTTGGTCAGTATGAATAATTTATGGGTGTCATGATTTTGACTATATGTGCTTGGCCAGGTAGATAAATGAATCAGGAGGCTTCACTAGAATTCAATGACAAAGTTTTATTCAAGGGCCTTAAGCGAATTGCAATTCAGAAAACACTACCAGCTAAACCCCCGAGTGTTCTAAAGAAAAACAGTTGAGAGTAGACATTCTTGAGAAGAGTCAGTTCGGCATTCTTGGCTTCTGGATTAGTCCAGGGTGGTTATCTTCTAGATATTGGTGTTCTGGACAATCAAATACTCTTTCCTAACTTCTTCAGAGGGTTATCTAGAGGATTTCTGTAGATCCAGACAAGGGTGCACAAATAAAAATTTCTAAAGCTTAAGTTCACAGGTTAAAGTAAGATAAAATTGATTCCTCTTGTTTCTGCCCACTCTGATTTAAGTGGTTTTGTTAGCTTGACTATAGTCACTCCATTTGGTTTCTCCCCTCTTTTCTCACAGGCATGTGCCCAAGAGATGACCTTGACCCCAGATATTTCTCTTCCCAGAAACTCAGTACTACAACTGAGATGACTTTTCCTAGGCCATCTTTTAAGCTCCTAGATTTCAAAGGCCACTGAAGAACCACAGCTGGCTCTGAATTCTACTGTTTAAGCAGTTTTGTTGAGATGTAGCAGAACCCTCATGGCACTGGCTGGCTTCTGCAGGCATATGTGATTCACACTCAGGGTATAAAGCCCTTACATGAACACCTAAAAAGCACTTGCCTTTGTGCTCTCCCTACCAACCTTTCTCCCTCCCTAATATGCAAAACACAAACCTGGGAAATAAATTCCTCTCAAGTCCTAGTGATACCCACTGGCAGTGACATGCCCTGCTTGACTGACAATAATAGGGAGGAAGCCGACCGAGGGTAACGGGATGCTAGGGATAACTGAAACAGAATTCCACCTCGCTTGTGGTGGAAGAAATTAACATTAGACCCTATTTTTCCAACTTCAATTTGGAGAGATTATGGGAGCATTCCCACACTATTGGGGGGTGTGAAAATCAGTACAGCCATTAAGAAGAGAAAAGCAATATGCATCAAAAGCATGTTTTGGATAATTTACTAGAAATTTGTGCAGAAGAAATACACATAATTGGGGACTAAGATTTAGCTGTAAGGGTATTGGCTACTGTATAACTTATAATAGCAAAAGGGAGGCACTCCATACAATGGGGTCGGCCCACCCTGTATCAGTGTCCAGTCAGGAAGGCAATCCACTCCAGTATTTCAAACATTTTAAAACAGGGACTTGGTTATACAGGTGGTGGAAGAGCTGAGAAGCCAAACACTGGAGAAGTACCCCAGAGATTAGCAATATAAAAAAAGCCATGCTCTAGCCAGTTTGGCTCAGTGGTTAAATCATTGGCCTTTGGACTGAAGGGCCTCCGGTTCGATTTCTGTCTAGGGCACATACCTCAGTTGCAGGCTCAGTCCCCAGTCTCGGTCCCAGTTGGGGCGAGTGCAGGAGGCAACCAGTGGATGTGTCTCTCTCACACTGATGTTTCTCTCTCTCTCTCTCTCTTCCTTCCTTCCTTCCTTCCTTCCTTCCTTCCTTCCTTCCTCTCTCTGAAAAACAATGGAAAAAATATTCTTGGGTGAAGATTAAAAAAAAAAAATCCACTTCTATCTCACTGGCTGGTCCAGAGTCTAAAAGCTGGGGAGGGGATTCAGGAGCTAGAACCACAGCAGGAAGGGGGGGGAGGTAGTTAGAAATACCCTGGCTTCTCCCTCCCACCCTTTGGATCTCCTGTTGGCTGAACTTAGCAGGAAGCCAACTGGCAAAGGGAGTCTGGAAAATGCAGTGCCTCTGACTCAGAGCAGGGGGGTGAGGCCTG